CTTGACAGAGAAAGTGATCCAACGCTCCCGGTTTCCATGGAGGATGTCACAAGCCACGCCGCACCAAGCATCAGCCTGATAACTCAAGCTGCACCTTGGCCCAGAGCAGCGTGGGCCACCTGCTGCTGCAGGGGACGCGTTGGGGACCCTGACAAGCTGGTGCTGCTCTGTGTCAGACCTGCAAGCCCCCAAGGCTGTTGGAACATTATTTAAATAAGAGTGATGCTTGCAGATGTGAAAATAGAGGGAGCCTCTGTATATCATATTTACGGTGAGGAAGGGTCTGCATACGTCTGTGCTGGGCTGAATACAGAGGAAAGAATACAGTGGCCATGCCTGCTATGGGCGTTGGCTGGGTGGACAGCCCTCCCTGGGAGGTGGTCAGACCCAGAATTTCCTCTCCGCTTGTCCTGAGGGTGAAAGCCATCCTGTGGCTGGGGTGTAGGAAGAACCCACTGCCTGGCCCATTCGAGATGCTTACCAGCTGGAAACACATGGGCCAATTACTAAATTGAACAGCAAGTGAGTTGGGGGAACAAGATTAAAATGAACCTGATGGCAACAAGTATCAGTGGTGAAATGTAACGCTTGAGTGGTGTGTAGATGGGTCCCCTCGGTGCTCCCAGCTCAGCTGTCTGAATGAAACATCCACTTTGTTCTCCACTCTTTGTGTGACTTGACAGCTGTCTGTCCCCTTCCATTGGTGATATTCTGCCAATGCACCTGATCAAGGGGCTTAGGGAATCTTCATACAGATACGTACACAGCGACTCGGTCAACAGATTTGACAAGCCTCAGTCATGATTTCCCCAGGAACATCAAGGAACATCATTCATTAATTCCAGTGGGTACTTCCCTGGCAGAGACTATGAAAACAGGCTGTCCATGAAAGGACCAGAAGGAATTTGGGGTCACATTATCCATGGGTTCCCAGCATAGGGTCCTGAGGTCTGAGAACGGAAGTGGTTTATAAAGAGATCTTCAGTATTGGAAACAGCGGATGAGAATCAGATATTTACTCACAGCTGGCCTGGAGACTAATAAAACCATCCCTGTCTCTGCTTTGGATAGAGCCACGTGCCCCCAGTATGGCCCAGCACTTCCCATGGGGACAGATTTGGGGCATCTCCCAGGGCACAAGCCTTCTCATCAAGCTAAGTCCCCACAGGGGAGTATTATCATTTCTCTTGGTCTGAATGAGGGCACCGGGATTCCAGTCCATTAAGCTAAAGGTCCACGTTTACATAGTTAGTGAGCACTGGGCTGGAGATGATAGATCCCAGAGGCTGTACACCCAGTGCTCATTGGGAGAAGCCCTTTGCCTCTACACAGAGACCATCCTTTGAATATGGAAGCAGGCCTTTTTCACTTATACCTTTTCATTCACAAAGCTGGGAGCTGGGCTGGAGGAGCTGGAGAGAAGGTGCTGGTCTGAACCAATCAGAGCTTGCCATCATAAATCCTTCTGGTTGAAGGAATACAATTTTATAGCTTTTAGGCATGCCGACGGGATAAGGAGAATTCACTCACAAAGGCTCAAATATACAAGGTTGCTCTGGGACCTTAGTGACCAAACGTCAGCATAGGAGATGTCACATCTCCCCTGCGTGTCAACAGGGGCTTCTCCAGGGCTTGGACTGCTGCAAGGTCTACGGGTTTAGCCCAACAGAAACTAAGATTATTTATGGTCCTGGCCTTCTTGTAACAGGCTGGGAGTGCACTGGGTTTGTGATGCATAAGAGCCAGCTAGACATTACTAAGAGTTAATCCAAAACACATATCCAATGTGAATGGCTCCCACCTTCAGCAACTCCACGGACAACTGGCCGCCCAGAGGCCAATCCCCCAAATCCCTTGCCGGGAATGCAAGGTCCCTTGTAAAGTAGTCACAGCTAACAACTGTGGTGCCCTCCCCTACCAACCCACTCTGCTAGTTCTCTCGGCTTCTTATCCCTATACTTAGGCACGCTCAAGGTTGCCCTTCACCCTCACCTGCCTTTCCATAACTGTGCTCTACTCCGGTGGCTGCTACTGTCTTGACTGTCCTTGTCTTCAGCTTCTCTACTGGGAAAAGTCTCTCGGCCTTCAGAGCTGAGGCTCAGCTCATATCTTGTCTATAGTGACCCACCCACCCCACACCCACCTGTTAAAGGAAAATTAATTATTTCATCTTCTTAAAAAATTTTTTTAACATTTATTTATTATGGAGAAACAGAAGATGAGCAGGGCAGGGGCAGGGAGAAGGGGAGACACAGAATCCGAAGCAGGCTCCAGGCTCCAAGCTGTCAGCACAGAGCCCGATGCGGGGCTCGAACTCATGAACTGTGAGATCATGACCTGAGCTGAAGTTGGACGCTTAACTGACTGAGCCACCCAGGTGCCCCTAATTATTTCTTCTTAAGCTTTCCATAGCCCTGGGCATGGCCAAGGAATGTGTCTCATTCGTCTTTGTGTTGTTTGCAATTGGTAAATAGAGACTGTCCGAGGTTTTCTTTGCAAGATAGGAATGGTGACGTGGAGCAGAGGGCTGCCTGGGAAGTGCTGGTGGCTGAGCGGGGAGAGAGAGCAGGGTCTCTAAGAGGCAGGGCAGAAGCGCTCACCCCTGTGCTCCCCACAATAATAGATCAGCGAATACTGTCTGGACTCATTGGGTTGACCGTGGCCAGGGAGGCAGGGAAGGCAGTGATGCCCATAAGCTCACATGGAGAAATAACTGGTGCCCACCAGTTATGGGTCTGTGAGGAAGTTGTCATGGCAACTGACCCAAACCGGGCCTCTTGGGGGCAGAGTTTCACCCTCCGGGGGAAGTTGAATCCATAAAGCTGCCTGCCAGTTTGGGTGCAGAGCCTCCTGGCTGAATGAGGTCCTCAGGCTGGAGAGACCATTGTTGTTCACGTCAGAAGGCCCACAGCTCTGCAGTGCTGGGGGGCAGCTGAGGCCACATCCCTGTGACCAGGTCTGGCCAGGACTGTGGAGACTGAGGCTGCTGTCTGGGGCTCAGCTGGACCGCCGTGCCCTGCACGGTGAGCAAGTGGAATCCTTACTGCCCATGTGCTGAGTGCGGGCTCTGAGGGCAGAGCCCGGGCTTGGGGGTAACCTGTGAGTGGCCAGGGCTGCACGTAGCGTGTGCACCGTCTGATCTCAGCCCCTCCATCTCTGGAGTGTGTGGTTGTGCACATCCCGGACTCTGCAGCTGTGAAGGAGCTCCGTCTCCGGGGCCTCTCTGGGCTTCAGCTCCAGCAGGGCGGCAGGGACAAGCACAGACAGTGCGAAGGGTGAGGGGCTGCCTGGGGCACCAGGGTGGGAGGGACCCTGGAGTTCTTTTCAGTCTGAGCCAGCAGGGACTTGGGTGTCAGGATGGGCACACAGTTTCAGACAACGCAGTTACCTGGGCTCGATTCATTTAGAAGACTGTGTTAGTTATCTATTGCCGTGTAACAAACTGCCCCAAACCTCATGTATAAGAGCACCAGACACTTGTCATCTCACAGGTCCTGTGTTCAGGGCTCTCAGAGTGGCTTGGCTGGGCGGGCCTGGGTCAGGGTCTCTCACACGACTGTCACCATCTCAAGCCTCAAGCCCACACTTGTGCTTGTGGACAGGCCTCAGGTGTCACTGGTCACTGAGCAGAGACAGCAGTTCTTTGCCATTTCGGCTTCCCCATACTGTTGCTGACAACATGGTAGCTTGCTTCTCCTAGAGTGAGCTTCCCAGGGTAGGGCGTGTGCAAGATGGAAGGTGGATGCCATTCTCTTTATAACTTTATCTTCAGAGTGACAGCCCATCACTTCTCCATGTCAGATTCATCCGAAACAGGTGTGAGCCCTGCCCAGACTCATGGGGAGGGATTATGGGGAGGGATTGCACAGAGGCGTGAGCAACAGGAGGTGGGCATCATGGTGGCTCTCCGCACAGCAGGCATTGAGCAATGGTCATGCTCCGGGCAAGGCGCTGAATGTTGAGGATACAAGTGGATGGAAGGGTCACAAAATAATCCAGGAAGAACGTAATCCTTGAGAGGAGACTTGGGGACTGTGTAACTATAATTGGGCACTAAGGACCAGCAAATCATTATTGCCTGAGTAAATGGCCAAAGAGAGGCAACTAAACCTTGGATCAACCTCTACCTGAAAATCTCTGCATTTTGCACCACAGGGTATTGAGTCATAGGTTGTGTCCGTGAAATAAACTGTCTCTGATTTGTAGCTCTGGGACCACAGTAGCATATCTCGTGGTCACGTGCTTGCCCCACAGTGAGCCCCAGGGACACTGACCCCCCCTCTCTGCAGCTGTCCCCAAGCACAGGCTTCAGAACACAGGTGAACCGCCTACAGGGCCAGTCTGCACTTGGCCCAGAGCCCTGCACTTGAAGTGTTGGTCTTCCTAGAGCTGCGTTGCAATGTGGTCATGTCCATCATCTGCCTGCACACAGGGCTGTGTATGCCAGGGTGTCCCCTGGAAGGAGGCAGGTGGTAAAACTCCTCAGACTCACCCGCACCCAGAGTAAATCTTCAGCCTGGCCTCGTGGGAAGCGAGGCTGTGCTGAATTGAAACAATCAAAATAGACTCAAGGAATGGGTGGTTTCCCAGAAGCCTGACTGTAGCTCCCGCCCCACCGCCAGCTAGCGTGGGCTTGCCCTCTGCCCTCCGTGTGCATATGCTCTGGTGTAACAGCGGGACCAGGCAGCCCCGAGGCCTTGCTGGGAGGACCCATGAGTGCCAGGTTCTCAGAGCACAACAGACACTCGAATACTTCCATCCCTTCTTCCTCCAAGAGAGGACCGGGTTTCAGGTCCCGTGTTGATACTCTTCTTTCGCTTCCAGATCCTTTCGTGGTACCAGAACACAGGTCGGAGTAAAGGGGCGTCTTAAGTGCTTTATCACCTCACTTCCCCACATTTCCCCACAAATCCCAGATAGTATACGGATTGCTCACCACACGTGAAGCAGCTGCAGGGAAAGAACAAGTCTTTTGTCTTCAGATTGGTGACAAAACTAGTCTGCTCGCTTTGGCAGCACATATACTAAAATTGGAACCTTACCACGATTAGCACAGCCCCTGCACAGGGATGACGTGGAAATTTGTGCAGCATTCCTTATTTGTTTGTTTGTTTGTTTGAGAGCAAGAGTCTTAAGCAGGTTTCATGCCCAGTGTGGAACCCCCCCACCCCCGAACGGGGCTCAGTCTCACATCCATGAGATCATGAGCTGAGCCAAAATCAAGAGTCAGATGCTCAACCAACTGAGCCACCCAGGCACCCCGAGCAGTCCATATAGTTAAAGAAGACACACAGATGGCTAACATACATGAAAAGATGCTCAACATCACTCATCACCAGGGAAATGCCAATCAAAAACACCATGAGATATCACCTTACACCTGTCAGAATGGCTAAAATCAATAACACAAGAAACAACAGGTGCTGGCGAGGATGTGGAGAAAGGGGACTCCTCCTGCATTCCTGCTGGGAATGCAAACTGGTACAGCCACTCTGGAAAACAGTATGGAGGTTCCTCAAAAAATTAAAAATTAGAACCACCCTGTAATCCAGCAATTGCACTACTAGGTATTTACCCAAAGAATACAAAAATACTAATTCAAACAGATAAATGCACCTCCATGTTTGTTACAGGATTATCTACAATAGCCAAAATATGGAAAGAGCCCAAGTATCCATCGATTGATGAATGAAAGAAGATATGGTATCTATATACAATGGAATATTACTCAGCCATATAAATGAATGAATTCTTGCCATTTGCAAGGATATGGATGGAGCCAGAGTGTATTATCCTAAGCAAAAACAGTTAGAGAAAGACAAATACTATATAATTTCACTCATACATGGAATTTAAGAAACAAATGAATAAAAGGAAAAAAGAAAGAGAGGCAAACCAAGAAACAGACTCTTAATTATGGAGAACAATCTGATGGTTACTGGAGGCGAGGAGGTGGGGGATGGGTTACGTGGATGAGGGGGATTAGGGAGCTCCTCTGGGATGAGCACCAGATGATGGATGGAAGTGTCCAATCACAATATTATATACCTGAAACTGATACTACACTATGTGTTTAACTAACTGGACTTGAAATAAATACTTTAAAAAATTAGCCTCAACGATGAGGCCATTTTGTTATTCAGTTCTGTTGCTACCTATTATGAAACACATCTTCAGTGAAATTCTAAAATTTTATTTATCCCAGTCCAATTCGGGGGGAGGGAGGATACTGTGTTTGTTTTCACATCCGCTGAGAAGCTGCTGTCCTGCTTGTGGTTTACATATGTTCTAGAGGAAAGCATCAAGCATTTTTGCCTGACCAAAATTTGCAAAATACTCTTGGGAAAACCCAAGATTATCTGTGTCGTATACAGGTAATCACAGTCCTCCTTTCCCTGAACAAGGGGTCTTTTGATCTGGAAGATATCCTTTTGAATTGTATGAAGTATGTAATAAAATGATTATGGGCAGATCAACATTAATTTCATCAGGAGCTGTCAACTCAAATGCCTTCGGTGCGCGGAGGGTAGCAGGAACGTGAGAAGCTGCTGGTGGGGGGTCAAGATGGCGGGATGAAAGGAGAGAGCACATACGCCCTCTAGAAACATTCATGTTAAATATTCAAATGAAATACAGCACCGGCTAAACCATGTTTTTAAACCAGTGAACTTCTAGTCTGTAAGCCCCATTTCACTGAGTTTCTTGCTCCATATCGCTGCCATCTGGAGTGACACAAATCCACAGGACAGACGGACACCTCTGCGGACCTCCAGACACATGTCTTAGTAAATGGTCTGGCCATGGAGGCACAGCTCTGTAGCTATGTGGCCCCAGTGAAACACAACTGGGTCCCTGAGTTCAGCACGGGGGTCCTCGGGGGGCTGAGAACTACTAAGAGCACAGAAGGTGTTAACTAGAGGTTAGAGTCTCTGAGCAAATTGGGTTCCATTACGTTGCCTCTGTTGACATGGAACCCAGTCGAATTTCTGAATCTTGTTTATCCTCCGCTCCCTCTTTTGGAAACAAGGGATGATATCAGTGCCTCCCCTGTGGGCTTCTCGGCAGGGTTCAATGTGGAAATGGGGAGCGTGCTCAAGTGCTCAACGAGGGGGCCCCTCTGCTCCTAGGCTCCTTCCTTCTATGCTCCCAGAAGATCTGAGGGGCCCAGACCAGGACTCAGAGCTGGTGGAAGGTCATGGGGACTTGTCAGCCTCGTGCTGGGCCCCTCCGGCCTCCATGGCTTCCCGAATTCGCCAGCGTTCAGATGAGCCCGGCGTGCTACTGCAGCGCCCCTACTCGTCCCCCCACTCCCACGTGCCTCGCGCCCACTCCCCCTGAACTCGGAAAGCAAATGTCTCAAACAAATCATGTGGATTTGCTCTATCGCCTCCCACCCAGCCCTTGTGTCCACTCTGCCGATGGTGATCCCCACTCCCAGATCCTTGCTTCCTCTGCTCGGCCACTGTAACAAAATCCCGCAGGCTGGGGGGCTTCACAGACATTTATTTCTCGCAGCGCTGGAGGCTGGAAGTCCAAACCGACGTGATGACAGGCCTGATTTCTGTTGGAGGCTCTCTTCGTGGTTCGCAGTTGACCACCTTCACACTGTTTCCTCACGTGGCAGGGAGAGGAAGCAAGCTCCCTGGTGTCTCTCCTTCTAAGGGCACGAATGGCATTGTGGGAGCTCCACCCTCATGGCCTAATCACCTCCCTAAGACCCCCCCGTCTCTAGATACCTTCCTAACTATTGGGGGTTGGGCTTTCAACATGAATGTGGGGGTGACCTGGTCTAGAGCATCCTTCCTCATTCTTCTGATCATGTCAACCTTCTGTACCATCGCTGGTCCTTCCTCGTCTCCTATCCAGCAGCACTCCGGCAGCCCATCTCTCCCTGAGCTTTCCAGGTAGATCCCCACAGTCTGTGGCATGGCCACTCTCCCCTCCCCCAGGGTTCTGGTCTTTTCCCTTTGCACGTGGACCCGTGGCTCTCCCTACAGTCTTCTCTCCCGCATGAACGAGCACAGTTGCCTGTGGTCTCCTTCCATGGAAACAGCACACAGTATCCCTGGGAGGCACTTAGAACTGCGGGCAGGTGCCATGCAACTTCATTCAGCGTTGATTTTACTTTAATTTTGGAGATACACAATGGCATTAATTTGAAGTTAAGATATATATACACACACATAGTTACTCACACAACTATATATAGAATATACTAGATTCAGGGCACGTGGGTGGCTCAGCTGGTTAAGCATCCGACTTCAGCTCAGGTCCTGATCTTGTGGTTCATGAGTTTGAGCCCCGCATCGGGCTCTGTGCTGACAGCTGGGAGCCTGGAGCCTGCTTTGGATTCTGTGTCTCCTTCTCTCTCGGCCCCTCCACCGACTCACATTCTGTCTCTGTCTCTCTCTGTTTCTCAAGATTAAACATTTACAAAATTTAAAAAAAAGAATATACTAGATTCAGGCAATTTTTTAAAGTAAAAAAATGTTTGAGGGATTGTCATGTGATGTGCGCTCAGATGCTTATGGCTGGACATGTACATTGCAAGTGCTTTGGGGGAAAACGTCCAAAAGAATGAGGTACAGGGTACCTGGTCCTGAAAATTAATTTTAAACGCCAAAGACATGATCTTCCTGCCTGTGGCAGTGCCCCCACTCCCTCTCATGTTCTTCCCTGTCACGAACCCATGGCCTCACCGCTGAGGCCCTCACTCTTCCTCTTTTCCGCTCCCAACACTGATGACAAACACTGATGGCCCCGCTTCTACTGTTCTCTCTAGGGTCCGCTGTGTATTTTTCACTCCTGGAGCAGTCGCCTCTGTTCAGACGTTCAGAATCTCACCCAGGGGTTATTTCCTCCTCAGTTCATTCCATCGTAAAATTATCATTTTGCTCGGTTTTAGATGAAAACAAAAAGACATACAAAGATCAGAAGTATGTACTTTTAGATCTCTTGTGGAAAGAGCTAATGTGCTGTTTCTCAGGGTTATAGAGTCCTACAGATAAAGGTCAGTTTTTAATTAAAAAAAAAAAAAGGTATGCTAGACTCCGGGAAGGCTCAGTACGTTATAATCTTCCAGTGCTGCTAACTAAATGTCACCACCATGGTGGGGAAGGCGGCCGCACCAGGCCCTGCGCGGGGAACAACTCGGGTGGCCGCTCTGACTCTCGTCTTCGTGACACGGCCTGTAATTATTCTCATCTTTCTCCATGTTGTTCCACCAGAGCTGTTGTTACCGCATCCAGAAAACCGAGGCTTAGGACCCTTGAGTCATGTAGCTGAGGCCATGCAAGTTGTTCAATTCCAAGTTTATGATCCTTCCTTGGAAACGGCACCCTCTGTCGTGTCTGGCAAGGACAATCATCTTAGCACCCAGCCCAGTGCCTGTCCCATGGGAGTTCTAGTATTTGTTTATTGAACAGATGATTTAATTAACACGGAGTCCTACATGCATATGGAAATATATATTGACATATTTCAATTTAAAACTTCTCCTTAACGGGATTAGAAAATTATGTGAGTTCAGAACTACAGTAACTCAAGAAGGTCAGTTGCTTTTTTTTTTTTAAATAACGAAAAGTGTATGAACATAACAATAGAAACACATTTCTTACAGAACTGTCCACCTTATTCTTTGCATTGACCTTTGCCAAAAACTTTAAAAAACTGGGATTCAGTGTGTGCACCATTCTATTGTATTCAATATCTGCTCATCACTGTAGGGAATGGAAAAAAAAAACAGCCAATAAAAAGATTCCTGAATAGTTAGGATAAACACTTTGTGACTGCCAGCACCATCGGTTCCAACAGATCTCAGGCAATAGTTTGAGGATTTTTTATCTTTCTTGGGTATCGGAAATGGGTCAAATTATTTTGCCAGGGCACTTACACCCTGTCATCCCATACTCCATTGGATACACCATTTCTCTAATTTAGCAGGAAATATTCAAATTTCCAAAATTTTGGAAAGTAGAATCTTTGCTATAAAACATATATTCCATTTAATCCACCATTTGGAGCCCTTTAGGAGATGAGAAAGCCCTCATGAAGCACATACTTTTGATTTATTTTAATTTACACCCAAGTTAGTTAGCATATGAT